AGTGTCAAAAGGTAAGTCATTTTGCTTCTCAGTCTGTATCGTGGCACAAGAATCAACTTACTAGACCAGATCCTGAAGACCCTACCAGAACAAGTCCTTCATTGCCTCTCGCTATGGAGCACAACAAATGAATGCTTTTGAAGTCTAAAGACACTTGTTGTTTGAGGACTCTAGCCTCCAGATTGCCTTTAGATCAGTAGGAAAAGTGAAAGGAAGAAAGCCGGGACAACAGCAAGATCCACTGAGAAGAAAGAGAAAGCTTCGTCGTCCTTCTCCAGATTCTTCGCTTGTTCCGCCAACAGGAGGAGACGTCCAGCAACTCTTCGGCCTCCTTCATGAGCTTCGAGGAGGAAAACCCCTGTACGACGGTCCGTGAGGCTACTCGGGCCCATCATTTTTGGGTTCGGACAAGAAGACTTGGGGAAACAATAAGCTACTAGTAGCAAGTGCATCGCTTCTAGTAACAAGTGCCTTACTAGTAGTAACAAGAAGCTAGTAGAAACAATAAGCTACTAGTTGCTAGTAGGTTGGAGGCCATTGCTCTTAGGTTCATTTGAGCTCAGATCCTCGGGAAGCGAAGTCTCGGCGGAAAGGTGTCAAGGACGGTCAAGCAAAGCACAGAGCTTTTCATGGAGCTGGCGGAAGGACTCGACTTATCTTTGGTGTTGGTCGAAACAGATGTTGCGAGGTTGAAATAACCTGACAATGCAAGGATTAAGCGCTTCTTTGGTCATGTTTGAAGGCTTTAAAGGTTGACCCTCTTTCGGATGCAAAAGCACAGCTTTGGAGGGTTTTGCCGGAACTTTTGGGTTTTGGAACATGTCACTCTTTGAACTTTGTCGCTCTCATCAACCTGAAAAATGCTTTGCGCTCCATTGTTGTAAACCCGCTCGTACTGCCCCTTTGAACACCTGAACAATATTCTTCGTATGAAGAATATTCTTGTTGCAGTTCATAGAAGCAAGGGGCAGCAAAGAAAGCATCTCGCAAGACTTTTTTCAGTGCCGAATCTTCTGTTTGGCACATCACAGGAGACTTTGCCACCGCTTCTGCCTGGGAGGTCACGGGACGGGCATTTGTTTAAAGACTTGAACATGAACACAACACCTTTTGAAGCCGAATGACATCTAGATAGCTCTCTAGAGCTTCAATGCTTTGCACAGCCTGTTGCTTTGCCGGCTTTGACAGTATAGTGAGAGTCTCAGAATGTTATCTCTGCTCCAACCGTGAGGCTGCTGAGAAGGCCTGGCACAGCACGGCACATGGCACATTGAAAACCACAGCTGATCCGCCATCAGCTGATCCTTTTGCTGCCATAGTAGAAACAATAAGCTACTAGTAACAAGTGCATCGCTTCTAGTAACAAGTGCCTTACTAGTAGTAACAAGAAGCTAGTAGAAACAATTTCGGTGCTTGCATGTGCTTGCTCAATGCCAATGTTGACGGAGGACATCCGACAAGCGGAATCCTCCGTGCCCACCCTCACCAGGCAGCTCTGGTAAGCACGCTGTGTGCCACTGTGAGCTCTGCCTGGAAAACAATGCGGTTTGTCGAGGCTCCACGTGGTGATGGAGAACCCAGTGATCAGCATTCCATTGGAAACCGGTGGCCAAGATCAGGAGCCAGCAGTCGAGATCCGCTCCAGGCACACCACACAAAGAGTTGCCATTTGACTTTAGATGTGGAGTAGTCGACGTGTTCCAGAACCGACCTGCTCTCCTGCGGTTCTGTTGAAGGTGGGAGAGGTAAGGCATCGGAGACCTGAGTCCTTGAGTTAATTTTGAGAGCAAGGAGTATTGGAAGGGGTTCTGGTTACTTGAATTATCACAATCTTCTGGACTTGCTGGTGACGACCCTAAAGCAGGCCGTAGAACTAGGAGCAAAGGACGACGCTACTAGGGGCTCCTGGCACTACTTGGAACAAGAAGCTACGAACGTAACAAGTGCATCGCTTCTAGTAACAGGTGCCTTACTAGTAGTAACAAGGACGCTACGAACAGGGCTCCTGGCCTCGCTACGAACGGAGCAAGTGCATCGCTTCTAGGCCCTTGTGATGCTCGCCTTCTAGCGATGCACTTGTTCCTAGTAGCAAACATTGTTACTACTAGTAAGGCACTTGTTACTAGAAGCGATGCACTTGTTCCTAATAGCTTATTGTTCCTAGTAGCGTTCTTGTTACTACTAGTAAGGCACCTGTTACTAGAAGCGATGCACTTGTTCCTAATAGCTTATTGTTCCTAGTAGCAAACATTGTTACTACTAGTAAGGCACCTGTTACTAGAAGCGATGCACTTGTTCCTAATAGCTTATTGTTCCTAGTAGCAAACATTGTTACTACTAGTAAGGCACCTGTTACTACTAGCGTGGCACTTGTTCCTAGTAGCTTATTGTTCCTAGTAGCAAACATTGTTACTACTAGTAAGGCACCTGTTACTACTAGCGTGGCACTTGTTTCTAGTAGCAAACATTGTTACTACTAGTAAGGCACTTGTTACTAGAAGCGATGCACTTGTTCCTAGTAGCGTGTCGCCTTTCCCTCGGATTCTGCCAGGTGGCTCAAAGTCTCCAATGGCCCTTGTCGCCGTCAGAACCGTAAGGGGCTGGTGGATGCGCTGGCCGTCTGTGGTGAGCAGGCAGTGTGATGAGCTGGTGCTCCTAGTGGAGCCGAAGTGTAGCTCCTGTACAGGGATTTTGAATTTGATATGCTCAGCCGGAGTGGTGTGTTTTTGTGTTTTGGGTTCCTTTCTGGTTGTTTGGAAAGAGTTCAGTCTGAACCAGCTTGGTAGTGAACTGTTTGGAGGGTCTTTGAGATAGCCTATGATTGTTTCAAGTAGTCTTGGAAGCTTGTCCATTTTGGCTTAAGCCCACTGGGAAGATAGCAGTCGACCTCCTTTCGCTTTCATATTAAATGCGAAATTAGAACAGGCTTTTGGATATTTTTTGCAGCGTGAAGCGGCAGTGAAGCGTTTCCTTCTGACAAAGTTTTAAATCCAGATTTGTTTCATGTCAAGTGGAACCAAGAACTTGGCCGAAAGACAGGTGAGCATCGCAGAAGCTGGAGGTTCAGAAATGCTGGCACCGCAGGACGTGTGTGTGATTCCATGTGATTCCTCAAGGGAAAGTCGCAAAACGAGGTAATTACTGTGGTTGGTGTCAGGTTTTCGATCGGTTGTAGGGTCTTGCAGCTGATTTCTCATGTTGCATTTGCTTTTAGGACATGAGCGTGCAAATCGACCTGAATCTTCAGGTGGAGGGCCTCAGCCACAGTACACGAATTCCGGTTCCCGATTCAGCAATGAACAACGTAACAACTGACTGTAATCCAATTCCCGATTCCTGTTTTGTAGCGCAGAAAGCAAGACCTTATGGCAGCGCTCACTTTCTTTTGTCTTTCATGCGTGCGGAAGTCCATGAGACGGAACAGCGCCTAGCAAGTGATTTCTTTGCACCGAATCATTCAAGGGTGGCTGGTGGTAATTTGCTCCCCAGGACTCGAGCCTGGGGAGATTGTCAAGCGCCACTTCCACATCCCTCAACCAATTAACTTCGCCTGCCAAATCAAGACGGTGACTCTGAAGCCGTTCCAACCCATGGGAGAACAACAAAAAGATCAACCTGCAAAGAAAGATGGGAGGGTGCTCTTTGAGTGGTGATGTACGCTAACCAGCCCCATCCCTAACAATGCTAACTGCTGTAGGAAGCGGATGGGCTCTATTGGCCCGCTACCAAAGGCAAACCAGGTTTGTTGGAAGAGAGTGTCAGATGATTGTCGTTGAAACCCTTCAAAATGCAGTTGGAACCTAGTCGCTAGTAGGTTGGAGGCCATCACTAGGAAATGTTCCTTCCCAAACCATCGCCTTTCAACCTTCTGAAGTTGGATCCGGCTTTGTGCTTGCTCACCGCCGCAGGTGAGGCCTCCCCAGCCGATGCATGTGCTTTGGCGGGCTCCGGTACAACTGGAGCTTTCTTCTCGGAGCAACTTGGCTCAATGGGAGCATCGAGACTGTATTTCCCCAAATAGTGCTCCGCACTAAGGGGTTCTTACGGTAAGAGTTAAGCGGGTTTAGATCAGGGTTCGCGCGTGTGGCTGCGGCATTTTGCGTGGGCCGGCTCGCACAAAAGTTACTTTTTGAATTCCTCATGTCCATTTCGACTGCGCAGGCTCGCATAAAGTGGTGGCCGCGCCTTTCGCGCTTCCGGGACAAAGCTCTCGTGCGGGTGCCGTGCTCGTTTTCGGACATGAAGTGCATTTTGCGTGGCAGGCGCAAGGAATTCGACACATTGGAGCCTCGAAAAGGTCATTTTACGTGGCAGGTGCAAGGAATCGGAGATTTTGCAAATTTCGTGGCAGGCGCAGTGTTTTGTGGACGTTGCAAAAACGTTGGCAGGCGTGTGTCATTCGCAGGATTGCGTTTCACGTGGCAGGCGCAGGGAATCCGCACCATGGATGCGATATTTTGAGGTGAAACGGCTGAATTCGTGAGAGGGGTCGCATTTTTGGAATTTGAACTTGAGGATGCTTTTGCGTGGCCAGTGCAGCATTTCGTGTGACCTGCAGGCATGATTTCGTGGCAGGCGCAGCATTTCTGAAACGCATTTCAAAATTTGCGAAAGCCTCGTGCAACTTGCTCATTTTGGATCTCCGATGTGCAGATTTCGTGGCAGGCGCAGCACTTTGTGAATCTCGATG